TTTTTTTTTTTTTTTTTTTTTTTTTTTGTACCGGGATCAAACTTGGGTCCTTACTCTTGGAGGCAGGTCGCAGAACCACTGAGCTACATCCTCGGCCCAAGGAGGTGTAATTTTTAACCTGAGTAAAACAGGAACTTCCACGGTGTTACAGTCATGTGTGTGTGTGTGCGTTCCCGTTCTGCTCATTGTTCTCGTAATGCTGGATACAGAACTCTTCATGATGTGATGATTACTTAATCAGGAATTGACTGACTGTAGGAACAAAATTTTGTTTGTGTCAGGTGAAGCGAGGGGAGAGGAGAGAGGAGAGGCTAGAGGCCATGGCCAGGCTCCAGAGGCTCTCTCAGGCTGCTCCGTGAGGCCTGGCACAGCTGGAGCTGCGCTTGCGCTTCCTTTCCTGTTCAGGGTGACAGGTTCACTGGGACCCTCGCCTCTACAAGGAGCTTCACGAGCTCCAGGTCAGGCATCCGACCCACTGAGGCGAGGCGATGAAGGAAAGCGGTGTGTGTGTGTCAGGCTTGGTCTCGAAGGTCAGATAGCGCGGCCCTGTGAACTGTTTGGACCTGTCCCAAGCTTCAGGCCTGTTCCTGTTTAGACGATGATGAACTTTGGTGACCTCCAAGTGTTTGTGTATCTTTAAATAGTTCTGGTGCTGGGGATCGAACACAGAGCTTCATGCATGTTGGCAAAATGTTGCCCGCTCAGCCATGCCCTGCCCTGAAAGTACCTTTTGTACGTATGCTCTTTCTTCTAAAGAGGACTTCAGGGCCGGGGATTTAGTAAAGAAGACTTTTACTTTCCATCTTACCACCATATGGGTGTGCAGTACAGTTTGTGCTGAATTGTTTGTTTGTTTGGGTACCAGGGATCGAACTCGGGTCCTTGTGCTTACAAGGCAGGCAGCGGAACCACTGAGCTAAAATCCCCGGCCCAGTTCGTGCTGAATTGAACTGTACTTATTTTCTACTATGATTTTAAGAGTGTTTAAATTGTGTATTCAATAATCTGATTAAAATTTGAAAATTTTAAAAATATTATCTAAGAAAGCAGAATTGTACTGCCTGGCACCATTGGCATCTTTTTTGAGACAAGGTTTTACTGTGTAGTTCAGGCCGACCTTGAACTGACTGTGTAGCCTCAGATTCACTCTGACCTTGCCTTACTCTGAGATCCCAGGCGTGCACCAACAAACCTGGTACCAACTGCTGTTAAGGAAAAAGAAGGGAAGGATGGAGAGGAAGGGAGGGAGGCAGGGAGAGGGAGAGAAAGGGAAAAAGTATTTTGCTCAGAAAAAAAGGAAAAGGGTCTTGTTCCATATGGGTATAATCAGACTGCTTTTTGTTTGTTTGCAGTATTGGAGATTGAACGCAAGGCCTTCACCATGTGCTACATCCCTAGCCCTATTTTTATTTTATTTTTTCAAGTTGCTAAATTGCCTGGTTTGGGCTCAAATTTGGAATCCTCCTGCCTCAGCCTCTTAGAGCACTGAGATTTTAGGCGTGTGCCGATTTAAAAAAAACTTTCATGTCACTGTTATAAACTTCCTTTTTTTCTTCCTTTCTCCCTCCACACCCACAGCAAGGATTTGATAAATATTCTGTGGGCCAGAATACTATAATTTATTTGATGTTGAACACACTAGATTATTTTCTCGAGTTTTCTTAAGTAACACATGTGATGCATATCTTTATCCATAAAGCTTTTCTGTATTTAGAGCAATTCATAAAAGTAGGATAATCTGGTCAAGTGGTATTAACAAATATATTACTGCCAATTTAGGTTTTTTTTTTTTTTTTAGTCCAATTTAGTTTTGAAAAAAGATTGTACCCATTTATACTGTCTCCAGCTGTGCCCCCCATTGTGATACTCCTGCCTTAGCTTTCCAGGTAGCTCGGATTACAGGTGTGGGCCACCACAGCAGACTCCAGTTGTGCCTTTTTAAACCACATTTTGTTCTAGAATCTTAACTGCTTCCCAAAACCTTTTTTTATTTTTCATTTTGAGCCAAGGTCTTACTGTTTGCCCAGGCTCACCTCACAGTGCAGATCTTTCTGCCTCATCCTCTTTGAGTGTCTGGGTTTACAGGCCTGGGTCACAGTGTCCAGCTATCCTTGATATGTTAATGGAATTTTGCTTTCATGCAGCAGTATAATTTGGTTAGAAGGACTTGGATGACGTTTAACTCTTTTGTAAAGTTGTGGTAGGGTTATTTATTGAGAGTTGATGGTCAACATTGCTGATATTTTATAATGTATGTTGGTGCCTAATGGAACTCCACTAAATCCAAAATTCTTTTTTTCAGACCCTGTAAGGTTTGGATATGTCCTTCATATTCGATTGGATCTACAGTGGTTTCAGCAGTGTGCTACAGTTTTTAGGTAACTCTGGCCTTTCACTTTCTGTACTCACCCTGCTTTACCCTATTTATGTACACGCACTCATTCATGCAACGCCTGTTTACAAAGAAGCCAGCAGTTGAGAATGCAAGTGAGCTGGGCGGACACTTGTGCTCTGGGAGGCTGAGGCAGGGGGATTGCAAGTTCAGGCCTAACCTGGGCAATTTAGTGACTTAGAGACCCAGTCTCAAAATTACAAAAGAAACACTAAAGTTCTCGTCTGGGTGTGCCGCTCTGTGGTACAGGGTGTGTTTGGGTAGGTGAGGTACTACATCAACCCCCAGCACCATGGGATTGATTGCACTGAGGCACATCCCAGAATTTTTATTTTTTATTTTGAGACAGGGTATCACTAAGTTGCCCAGCCTGGGCTAAAACTTGTGATCCTGCTGCCTCAGTTTCCCAGAGTCCTGGGATCACAGATGTGCCCCACTACATCTGGCTAAAAAAACTTTGTTCCTGAAAAACAAATTCAGTGTCAAATATAGCAGTTAAATGCCAGTCTACTATCAGTTGGTCAGTGTTGCCCTTTTTTTCCTAACAATTTGTCCATGCTGGGTTGATATTTCTTTATGTATATGGTATACTTTATGACCCAGGACCTCACTGAACTGCATCCCCAACCCTTCCTTTATTTTTTACTCTGAGACAGTCTTGCTAAGTCATTAAATTGCTCAGGCTAGGTCAAATATGTAATCTTTCTGCCTCAGCCTCCCAGAGTGCTGGGATTATAAATGTGCATCGCCCCACTCATCTGTACTTGTTTTTTGTTTTTCATTTTGTGGGGGGAGGTCCAGGGATCAAACTTGGGCCCTTGCACTTTCGAGGCAGGCAGCAGAACCACTGAGCCAAATCCCTGGTCCTGATTTTTGCTTTTGTTTTGTTTTTTCATTTTTGGTACCAGGGATTGAACTCAGGACTTTGTGCTTGCAAGGCAGCCACTGAGCTAAATCCCTGGCTCTGTTTTGTTTTTGAGATAAGGTCTTGCGTAGTTCAGTGTAGTTCACTGTGGCCTTGAATTCACTATGTAGGCCAGGCTGTCCGGGAACTCGTGAAGATCTTCCTTGTCTCAGCCTCCCCAATGCTGGATTACAGACATGTACCACCACGCCTGACTATACTTGGTTTTGTTGTTGTTGTTGTTATTGTTTAGTTTTATGGAATTCTGTGATCACCAGTTTGACCTTAATTTTAGGGAAATTAAACAATGAACAGTGTAACTTTTTGACTGAGAAAACTCTTGCTATGGTTGTTTTTGTTATAATACTTAATTTTCATTCATGAAAAAATTTTTTAAATTTTTTCTTCAGTGTAGCTTCATAAACACATGACATCTAATATTTCATGAATGTTTTCCTAATAGAGAACAGATAGTTGTATCAGTCAATGCCTACTAGAGTCAGATGTAGAACTGCACTGAATGTCTGTCTGTGCACTGGAGACCTGAAGGGCCGGCAGCAGTGTCCCGTGTAAGTCTGTGTGAGGAGCCCGAAGCACGGTTAATCAGCCACCACGCTATTCATCCCTAAATTGTCAAGGAAGCAGCCTTTTGGCAATGTAGTTATGTTCTGACAACACAAATACTCTTCTGTGGGGGTCAGGATTAGTTTTACAATTGTTTGTAATCCTAAGTCATTAATAGATCTTAAATAACTCTTTTGGAGGTGGGTACCGGGGATTGAACTTGGGTCCTTGCGTTTGCAAAGCAGGCCACCGAACCGCTGAGCTAAATCCCCGGCCCTTTAAATAGCTCTTTTAAAACTGAAAATAAAGCAAGACATGGCAGTGCAGGCCTGTATTCCCAGCATCCTGGGGGTCTGGGGCAGGAGGGTCACAAGCTGGAGCCCAACCTAAGCACCTTAGTGAGACACTGTGTAAAAAATAAAACACGGCTGTAGTGTAGTTCTATGCCAAGGCCCTGGGCTCATCTCCAATACTGAGGAAAAAAAAAGAAAAACTCGAACATTAGTTAGGAATTCAAGCTTATTTGGGCTGAATTTAAAATATTTTGGACAATCTGTCAGATATCACTTTGACAAATCATGGCTCTTACTCTACAGGATTATATAAGAAAACTGGTAAATTGGTATTTCTTGGACTGGATAATGCGGGAAAGACAACATTGCTACACATGCTGAAAGATGACAGACTCGGACAACACGTCCCCACGTTGCACCCCAGTAAGTACAGTCTCCCATATACCGTACTGCCTGGTCACTGTGAGGCGGGGGCCTTAAGCAGAGTGGTGCTGAGATAGGCACTGCAGTGGGCCCCAGAATTCACAGGGCTTATGTTCCTAGAGCACCCACGAATTGTTAAAAACTGCAAATTTCAGATATGGTCAAGAAATTGCCCATGAATGCCTATTTTTATAGTTTCAACCCTAAATATGTTATATTTCCTGCAGTTATATAATTTAATAAAATACTATGTTAATAAAGCCTTTCAAAGGAACATTAAAGATTCCTCATGATCCATCCATTCCCTTACAAGGTGAAATCTGTACTCAAAGTCAGGACTCATGGATGTCTAAGACGGCTTATGGAAACCTACTGAGTGGCTAGACGTGGTCACAGTTTAGAACCTGCTAGGATGAGTGAGTGAGCAAACTTATAATCTAAGTTATTGACCTGCATGTTTTTCTTGACCCCCAACTTGTTCCTTACATGTAGGCTCAATCTTTTCAGTATTCGGGTTACTGTTTCAACAGGAGCCAGAAAAATAACTTTGTAGTTGTCTGAATATTATCCTGCTGTATATTGTTTACTTTGTTGTAAATAATGGTGAGCAGTGGTCAATAAATAGTTTTTTGTTGTTTTTTTTTTTTTTCTTTTCTGGTTCTGGGCATGAACTCGGAACCTTGCGAAGCAGGTGGCAGCAACACTGAGCTAAGTCCCTAGCCCCATAAATGGTTTTATATTCCTTTAAAAAAAAATAAAGCCTGGGCCAGGGATTTAGCTCAGTGGTTCCACCACCTGCCTTGCAAGCGCAGGGACCCAAGTTCAATCCCCAGTACCAAAATAATAATAATAAAATAAATAAATAAAGCCTTAGGAGGTGCAGGGTATTTTGGCAGCATCTTAGGGGTCTTAGGGCTTTAGGAAAAACAAAACCAAGAACACTGGAATCAGCTACGTGGTACAGCAGCCTGTTAGGATGCAGGAATGCTGGCACATCTGCTGGAGATAGGTTATGGGGCAGCAGCCTATCAGCAGCAAGGAGCACTGAATAATGCACTAGGATTGGCTGCTTGCAAACCTCCTGACAAAAAACAATTGCGGAGGATATTTGCAGTTTCCACGAAATTGTGGGGGTTTATGTGAACAATTATTAGATTCTAAAGAAAAATCCATGAAGGTGTGAGGCTACAAACTGAACTGAAACTTCCTGAGGGTATATTGTAGCCAAAAAAAAATTTTTTTTATTGTTTTTTTGATGGATAGTTTATGACGGGGTTATTTGACTTGTTCCTAAAATAGTATAGTAAATAACAAGAGACCTGGATCTCAGGGACTATATTTAGATCTTAAAAATAATGCTCAAACCTTTTTATCAGTTTGTATTCCTTTCTCTAGCTAGAGGAATCAGAAACTAACTATCTTAAAAACTGTGACGGGGCCCAGGGATTTAGCTCAGTGGTTCCACTGTCCTTCCAAGTACAAGGTCCTAAGTTTGATCTCTGGTATCCCCCCCAAAAAAAGAAATTGTGATGGGATGGGCAGTCATGATCATCTTGTTTGCGTAACCTGAATTTCTCATATTTTTAAAAATGTAGTATTTTAATCGTTAATTCAGTAGACAGGTTATGGTTCTACAAATTGCTGCTAACTCTCAATTTATTAACCACTTATTTCTATACTCCTGACTATACAATCTCAACAATGGAGCCGGGCGTGGTGGTACACGCCTGTAATCTTAGCACTCAGGAGGATTGCTGTTGAGAGCAGCCTGGGCTACATAGTAAGTTCCAGGTTAGTCTCAACTACATAGTGAGATCCTGTCTCAAAAAACAGAAAAAAAAAAAATCAATCAACAGTAGGTAGTATAAATGTTATAGAGGGGCTGGGGATGTAGCTCAGGTACCATGCTGGCCAGCATGCAGGTCCCTGGGTTTGATCCATAGCAGCACAGCATAAACAGGCAAAATGCTGGGTGTGATAGCACACACCTGTAATCCCAGCACCCAGAAGGATCCCTGAGATTCAAGGCCAGCCTGAGATATCTCCAAAACAAACAAACAAACATGTGTGCATGTGTATATATATAAAATATATATATATTTTTTTGGTACCTGGGATCAAACTCGGGTCGTTGCGCTTGCAAGGCAGGCCACCGAACCGCTGAGCTAAATTCCTGTCCCTATAAATTTTAATTTAAAATAACTAAGAAACATGCCATATGCAGTGGCGCCCATCTGTAATTCCAGGCATTTTATTTTATTTTTTGTTTTGTTTTGTTTTGTTTTGTTTTGTTTTGTTTTTGGTACCTGGGATTAAACTTGAGGCAGGCAGCAGCACCACTAAGCTAAATCCCCGGCCAGTCCCAGACATTTTGGAAGCTAAGGCAGGAGGACTGCAGGTTAGTGAGACTTGACTTCCAAGTGACAGATGAAGAAAGAAAAGGACAAGAGAAGTAGCTCAGTGTGAAGGCGCTGGGTTCAATCTCCAGTGGTGTAAAAATTAATAGATAATAAATAACAGAAAACGGAGCATGTATTGATACATTTACAGAACATTTTAAAGTAATGGCTATGCTTCTGTTTAGAAAGACTACCTGCAAAACAGCGATAATTCTGTAAATTACTCTTTATTACACCATTGGGAGTGTGAGGTTATGTAATGGGCTGTTGTTGCAGAAAGTAAAAGTTAAAGTGACAGGTGTCTCCTTTCTAATTAATACCTGTGACCTTATTTGTACCGGTGAAAAGATGATAAATCTGGTAGACAAAGTAGTTAAAGGTATGTTAACCCAAGAGTAATTATAAAATACTGATTGATTGCCATTCTGGGGATTGAACCTGGGACCTTGTGCACGCTGGGCAAGCACTCTACCACCGACCTGTGTCCTCAGCACAGTGCAACTTTGACAATGAATGCCATTGTTTATGCCTGTAAGCCCAAGTCTTAGATACCTAGACGGGAGGATCACAAATTTTTTTTTGGGGGGGGGTACCGGGGATCGAACTCAGGTCCTCGCGCTTGCGAGGCAGGCAGCAGAACCACTGAGCTAAATCCCCAGCCCTTTTTTTTTTTTTTTTTTGGTTTTTTTGAGACAGGGTCTCACTATGTAGTTGAGACTGACCTGGAACTCACTGTGTAGCCCAGGCTGGTCTCAAACTCACAGCGATCCTCCTGCCTCAGCCTCCCGAGTGCCTGGGATTACAGGCATGTGCCACCATGCCCAGCTTATAGCCCAGGCGTCTCAAACTCACAGCGATCCTCCTGCCTCAGCCTCCCGAGTGCCTGGGATTACAGGCATGTGCCACCATGCCCAGCTTGAGGATCATAAATTTAAGGCTTCCGTTTAATCCCCAAGTACTGCTCTTCCCTCAAAAAAAGAATGGGCCAGGGATTTAGCTCAGTGGCATCGGCTGGCTCTGCCTTGCAAGCACAGGGTCCTGAGTTCAATCCCCAGTAGCAAAAAAAAAAATTTGAAAACTAGGCCAAAACTTAAATAATACTGTATTTAGTTCAATTAATGTTCAAAAGCTTTTCTTTTTTTGTTTTTTTGGTTTTTGGGAAAGGATTTTGTATATAATTCAGGCTTGGCCTTGGATTCTCTATGTAGCCCAGGCTGGCCTCAAACTCACAGTGATCCTCCTGCCTGAGCCTCCTACCAAGGTGTTCAAAGACTGAGGAAGGAGAACAGAGCAGAAAAAAAGAAAGCCAAGTGTTTCTTTCCTCTATGAAACTGTTAGGTTGATAAAAGGATTTCATAAAATTGATGTCTTTATTTGATATTAGGTGAAGAAAGTAGGGGTTGACAAGATACTCATATCAAAACAATACTGTTGAAGTGATTACTTTAAAATTGGGTATATATAAAACTGCAAAAACAGCAAGATTGGAAGCAACTAGTGTACTCTTATATTAGATATGTCTTTTGTTGTTGTTTTTTACTTTTTTTTGGTACCAGGAATCAAATTCAGACCCTTGTGCTTTCGAGGCAGGTGGCAGAACTACTTAGCTAAACCCCTGGCTGTTTTATACGTTTTTTTTTGTTTTGTTTTGTTTTTTGGTTTTTTTGAGACAGGGTCTCATTATGTAGTTGAGACTGATCTGGAACTCACTATGGAGCCCAGGCTGGTCTCAAACTCCCAGCGATCCTCCTGCCTCAGCCTCTCCAGTGCTGGGATTACAGGCTTGCGCCACCACACCCAGCTTGTTCTTAACTTTTTGATGTTTCTTTCTTTTCTTTTTTCTACAAATATATGTTCAGTCCCTATGTCAGATATTGTTGTAAAGACTAAGGACCCAGTAGCAGCATGAAACTAATGCTGTCTCAGCTTTTCTGCTGCTCACATTTATTTCCGTTTGTATTTTTCAACTAAAAGCATCTGTGAAAAAGGTATAGTACATACATCCTATGATCTGGCAATTCTGTTCCTAGGTATATATCCGGGAAAATGAAAAGATATAGTTAGCAGAAACCTTGTGCACTTAACAAGGAAGGAAATGAAAGGTATCAGGCAGAAGCAAATGGGGCATCTAAAGATAATTCTACTATCTGAAATGAAAATTTCATTGGGTTAATAGCAAATCAGACCTGAAGAAGGAAAAACCTGTTAGGTCAGTGCAGAAGGAATGTACAAGAGGCACAGAGAAAAATGACTGAAAGAAAAATAAATTGACCCTCAGGGTGGAAGAATACCAAGCAGTAAGAAACTAGTCACTCAAGTCCCGGAAGGGGAAAGGAGAGGCCGAAAAAAATTGAATAAATAATGCCCCCAATTTTTGTTACATGTTTGTCATTAAAAATTGTGTTGGGGTTAGGAGTGTAGCTCAGTTGTAGATTGTAAGAAAATTCTGGGTTCAATCCCCAGCACCAAAAAAATAGCCGTAAGAGAAAAGTAGTTCATCTTTATCACTTAAGAATTATATGAAAAAGTTTTCGATTGACCTACATACAGTGGCTCGTGCTAATATTCCCAGCTCTTGGGAGGCTGAAATAGGAGCATTCTGAATTCGGGGCCAGCCTGAACTACACAGTAAGATGTTGTTGTGTCAACAAACAAACAAAAAGAAACCCAAATGTCAAGAAGAATTAAATATTATAATTATTTATGTCACATTGTCTGAATTAGGGAATATTTAATAGTGGCAGAGTATTCTTTTACTAGTTCCTGCTTGATTTGGTCTTATTTGCAACTAATCTAAATCGAATATTAAATTATAACGTATCCTCTGCTGGGTATAGTCGTGCACATCTGTAATCCCAGCACTGGGGAGACTGAAGCAGGAAGATCTCAGCGCATTCAGGGCCAGTGTGAACTATATACAGCAAGACCCTGACTCAAAATAAATGAATAAAAATTTTAAAAATTGTATCATATTCTGTGAATGGATTTCTGATTTTTATATTGTAAAAATATTTTGTATTTTTATATAGCTTCAGAAGAACTGACTATTGCCGGTATGACTTTTACAACTTTTGATCTGGGTGGACATGTTCAAGGTAACGTTCTGTATTATTTTATAATCTCTTATTTTAACTTAATAAAAATATGGCCATTATAGTGTAATGCATGAAGTGTCATTCCATTTAAGGGAGGCCACAGTAGACCTAAAGTTTAGGGTTATTATCCCTAAATCCCACCTTTACAAGCAAAGGTGGTTTCTGAGATGGTGCTGGTAGTGTAAGTGTGTGTTGCTTGTAGAACTTGGCTTCCCTTCTCGCCCTGCAGCCACCCAGTCTTCTTGTCATACTCTCGTCCTATCACGGATGCTCAGCTCTAAAACCGCATCCTTGGTTAACTGCATTCCTTACAGCGGGAGCTGGGCTCCTCCGCTGCTCTGATCTTGCTGTGTCCTTGTCCCTCTCCCTGACACCTCCCGTCCCACTCTGCTGCAGCCACACCGCCCGCCTGTGCCCGCCTGCCACCCCGCGGGGCCCGGTGTTTCTCTGTCCTGCGTCCCTCACTTCAGCCCCATCACTAGCGACATCAAAGCAGGAATTCCGCGTGTGTACGTGCACATGTGCATTTTCACTGCTTGTATTTTAGATTTAGCCACAGTCTTGAAGGGAACTAATAACCTGCCTTCTTGTCCAGGGGTCGATTTTTGTTTCTAGTACTGGGGATTGAACATAGAGTTTGTCCTAAGCTACATCCTCAGCCCTTTTTATTTTTATTTTGAGACAGAGTCTTACCAAGTTGCCCAGACTGGCCATGAACTTTTGATCCTCCTGCCTTAGCCTCCCATAGTGTTGGGATTACACATGCCTGGCAGAATTTTTTATTTTTTAACTTTTTATTCATTTACTTATCTTTTTGAGACACAGTGTCTCTTTGTAGCTCAAGTTGGCTGGGATTTATAGGCGTGCACCATCATGCCTGGCTTAATTCTTCTTACATGCGAAAACTGGGGAAGGATAAAGTATTTGACTCACCCGCAATATGGAAAACCTAAAATTTCTTCTTTGACATTCTGGAAAGATTTTGGCACCACTGGGTGAACAAAGGTCAATTTGGGCTGGGGATGTAGCTCAGTGGTGCCACCACCAGCCTTGAAGTGAAAGGTCCCAAGTTTGATCCCCAATACCAAAAAAAAAGTCAACTTGAATATACAGTGAAATCACAGCAGCTAACTTAAGGATAGGATGACTGCTGGTTTTCTGTTTTTTGTTTTTTCCCAACAGAGTCCTGCTATGTAGTTCAGGCTGTTTTTGAACTCACTACATACCCCAGACTGGCATTGAACTCATGGTGATCCTCCTGCCTCAGCCTCCTGAATGCTAGGATTACAGGCGTGTGCCTCCATGTTCAGCAGAATAGCCACCCTTGATTTTTTTTGCGGCGGGTATCTGGGACCGAACTCCAGTCTTTTGTGTTTGTGAAGCAGGCGCTGTGACCACTGAGCTAAATCCCCGGCCCCACCCTTGGTTTTTTGATGGACTCTGCAATCAAACCATCTGCTAGGCTTGACGAGCAAATAAATTCTAATTCCTGGTTGTTTTTGTTAGCTCGAAGAGTTTGGAAAAACTACCTTCCAGCTATCAATGGCATTGTATTTCTGGTGGATTGTGCAGACCACGAAAGGCTGTTAGAATCAAAAGAAGAACTTGATGTAAGTTAAATAATTAAAACTAAGCATGATAAAATAACCTCATGAAGCCGAGGAATAGGTGAGAGTTAGAGCTATATGAGGGCAGCGCTTCTGCAGCCTCCAAGGTGGCTCCTGGTGCTTGCTGTGCTCAGTGATGACCACTGACAGGTGGAGGGAGCAAGTCAGCCCCCGACTTGCAGAAGCTCTGATGCAGATGTCTTCCTGGAGGTGGAGGCGCCCGCTCCCCACAGGAAGCTCTCCTCCACTTCCTGTCTGCACTTCCAGAAGTGAGCAGCCCATGTTCGCCAGCTCTGCCCCCCTTACGGGCTCAGGGGCAACAAACAAGGCCAGAACGGGACCTGGGCGCAGAGTAGGCAGCCATGGTTCGAAGGGGCCTCACCAGAACTGCCCAGAGCAGGCAAACCCTTTCTGTTCTCGTGGGAGACTCCATGAGGGTCTATGGTCGTGCACAGGTCAGAGACTCCTGATGCCCGCTTTGTGCCAGGCGCTGCCCTAGTGCAGTTACGTCACTTCATTCTCAGAGCGCCTGCTGCTGCCCTGCCCTCTCTGTGCTCCCCTCGGGCTGACTGGGCCGCACCCCAGGAGCAGCAGAACCACAAGTGAATCCCACTCTGCCCAGCTCCAAGGTGTTGGCCCCGGCCACTCTCCCACGCTGAGGCGGGGAGCAGGTGAGCACCTCCAGAAGACACGAATTGGACTTAGGGTTTCACTGTGCTCACTTTAAGGTGTGGGGAAAGTTTGCCAAACAGTCTGCACGGCCTATTAGAGAGCGGTTCTTGACTGTCCTGTCAGAATAGGCCCTGTGGATGTTTTCGCATCACCTTGTCTTCTCTCCTTTGTTTTTCAGTCACTAATGACAGATGAGACCATTGCTAACGTGCCTATCCTGATTCTTGGGAATAAGATTGACAGACCTGAAGCCATCAGTGAAGAGAGGTTACGAGAGGTGTTTGGATTGTACGGTCAGACAACAGGAAAGGTAAAAAGAGAGACCAATCACGAAGGAAAAGCAATGGGCATGGTGGTGCACACCTGTAATCCCAGCTAATTGGGAGGCTGAGGCAGGAGGATTGTCAGGTGAAGGCCAGTGTGGGGAGCTGAGCAAAGACCCTAACAGTTTTTTTTCTAATTTTTTGGAGGACCGGGGTTTTAGCTCAGTGGTTCCAGCACCTACCTTGTAAGCACAAGGACCCAAGGTCAATCCCTGGTACCAAAACAAAAAAAATTTTTTTTTAAAGGCTAGGGCTGTGTTTCAGTAGTAGAGCACTGAGACTCTGGGTTCAATTCCCAGTATGGCCAAAAAAATAAATAAATAAATGAGAGGGCCAGGGATTTATCTCAGTGGTTCCGCCACCTGCCTCCCAAGAGCAAGGACCCGTGTTTGATCCTGGGTACCAAAAAAAAAAAAAAATTGACAAGTGTGAATACTAATTC